GCTCGATACACGCCAAATGAATTAGGTTCCATCCGAGTCCGCGTTTAGTTGCTAGAGGCCTCTAGTTGAAAGAGGGACAAAGAAGAGAAAGAAGCAGCGGCTGATACGTTGTGTACGACAAGGAAATTCACTAGCAAATCCGCAATTAATCCCAAATCCGTAATAAATCCCTCTGACTCGCGATTGGCAAATGGATCCTTTTTTTTTCTTCTCTCTTTTTTAGGTTAGGTTAGAACAGAGACATCGAATGCAATCGCTCTACCCGTTTTCCCTTTGGTAATGGTCTTGTTGTGTTCTTTCTTTGTTCCAACTGAAAATCGATTCTGATCAATTCCAATTGTGAACGTGAAATTATGACGAATAGGCTCGTAAGACTTGCTACAAAATAGTTCTTTAATACACATTCCGTGCCGCATAGAACTTTCTGTTCCAGCCATTTCGAATTTTCATTGTAAAATGAAGAAGTTACAAAGTCATGTGTGTACTGATTTAACAACATTTGTCCTATCGTAGGAGCGTATCATTCTGTTAAAATCAACTAATTTCGGTAAGAAGACGCTGTACAATTTGTTATACATATATACAATAAATTATTACTATTCAGTATACAAACAAAATGTTTCATTTCAAATTAATTTTTGACGTCATTGAAAGATAATTGTTTGTCGAAATAATGCCTTAATTAAATTAAATTTATTGCTTTGTTCTGTAATGTATCTTAAACACTTTGCCTCAGAATTAGAATTTTTGCACTGTTATGAAAATTGTGCGATATACTTCGGAAGCAAAGCTATTAGTGGTAGACCTAACCTAAATGGAAAGTAACCGGCACGGAATCTGTTTAATTTACAGATCTCAGTGAAATTATAATTCCATTGTAAGCGTGATATCGTCGGAATCTCGTTTCTATCTCCATTGAGTGAACCAATGTCGCTCGATTTCTCAACTCTTTCCCCCAGCCATTGCTTCTGGCCCATTGGCGTCGAACGTTCGAGAATATGATGGCCACGCCATCTATTTCGAGGACGACCACAGTGATGGGTAACAGATTGTAACTGCTTACGCCGCACTAAACTTACGTATCACGAGTAACGTGTAAGTTGAAATTTCGTTCAGAGAAAAGAAAGTGGGGAATAATGCCGGTGAGGGTGGATCGTTCGTTTTTTAATGACGGAGCGTAAAGCTTCCGGCGACCATTTGGATTAAAATTGAATCGCTTTCAGCGCGGGAAATACGTCGATTCGCACGCACGCAACAAGCCATAATTCACCCTTTCGCCGAGCACAATGCGCCGTGAAAAATTTTATGCATCGCCTGTCGATCGATATCGGCACTTTCGCTGGAGAAATCGTAGGAATTTTTATTCCCATCGTAACTGTTTTATTAACTATCATTCCGCTACTTTCATCGAAGCTGCGTGTAAAAGTGAAACAAATCGAAATAAACAACTGGCAAATGCTTCGATACGCCTTGACAATTACACTTCTCTAACGAGGATTTTTAGCACATGAATCTACGAAGTACACGTATTTCTGTATTGCTCAGTGAGATAATGTAACAATATTTAACGACTATTTTAAAATATCAAGCAATTAATTGTAGACGCAGCTGCAATTATTTTTACACATAATTACACATTGCACACGAATGAATTAGCTTTCACTGCTTTAATTAATTAATTGAAAGTTCATATTGAAAATGGTCATGGTTCGAACTTCGAATCGAATCAAATCAAATCTAAAGGCAATCGTTACAAAATTCAATGTAAATATCTCGCTACGAGATGAAGATATATTAATAATCTAATTTTTCAAGAACTAACAGACACTTTTCCATCTCTTGTATCGCAAATAAAAACTAAGATGTGAAATTTTTAACTTTTGCGCGTGTGTGAAAAATTTCATCAGCGACTGTAACTCTGTTACGATCAGAATGAGAATAATCACAGAATAATAATTATTTTGTTGACCAAAAAAAAAAAAAAAAAA